CTTGAGGCAATCAAAGAGTTTGGTTGGGATGAAGATGCTTTGATTTTGTTGACAACTGATCATGGTGGCATTAAAAATAATCATGGTGGAGATTCGGAAGAAGAATTAAACATAGTTTGGGGTGCCAGAGGTAAAGGAATCGAGTCAGGTAAAGCTCTTAAGGAAGTTTCTAATATGAGTATAGCAGCTGTTGTTTTGACTGCTTTTGGCAAAAAAATCCCTGATCATTTTGATTCTAAAGTTCCTGATGGTCTTTGGAATTAGAATAGATATAAATATATGTTATTTTTTATAGTTATAATTCATTTATACATAATAATAATAATAATAATAATAAGACAAATTAAGTTTTTTGAAGTAAAATATTTATTTCAACTATTATTACCAAATTATAATTATCCTAATGACAGTGATAAAGAATCAAGCCACCAAAAACCTCCAACTTTTGCAGTTTCTCTAGTGGCATCAGTTATATATTCTTTATGTCTATTGAATCCCTTGTCAATTATAGTTAGACCTTGGAGAAAGTCTTCATAGTCTATCTACTATTGAAGATGTAAATGGTTTGTTATCATTTTTATTTGGTCTGATCCATTGACCATCCTCTTCATCCAATAAATTTGAACTCATGTCATCCTCATCATCATCATCATCATCATCATCATCATCATGATAATCATCATCATTATTATTTTTTCTTGATCTATCAATTTTAGAATGATCAAAAAATGATACATTTTCACCTTGATATCATGAATATAAAATGTAGTAAATTGTATTGTCAAATCAAATACATCCAATATTGAATTGTAAATAGGTTTTGCCTATTTAAAAAATATTAATATTTTATTTAATAAATAAATAAATAAATAAATAGGCAAAATTGTTTGTTATTGTTATTATTATTCATTCCTAAATTATTTCTAAGAGCCAGCCAACCTTTTCATTGAATAAACATCTATCATATGTTGTTTGAATAAATTGTTCATGCATTTCATCAATGTCAAAAATTCGTTTCATTTTTTTATGAAATTTTCAGTTTCTGAATGAAGTATCTGTTTTTTTTTTTCAATCATATTTTCAATTAATAATAATAACAATAATAACATTCATGTATATGTATATATATTTGGTTTAATAAACTTACAATTCTCATTGTATAAACATAAATTGTATTTAAAAACCATAATAATTTGCTAATCTTTCCAAAAGGTATTTTGCTCATTTTGCTTGTAATAAAAATATTATAATATTTTAAAGTTTTACTGTGTATTATAATGTTCAATGGCCATGGAAACTACCATATAATCATTAATATTTTCAAGTTATTTTCCATTCACTTGTTCATATAAAATAATACTTACATGATAATCAATAACAATTTTTTCAAAAACATTAATGGGTGTTGTATTTGGTCTTTTTGTAGAATCATCATCACCAATCCAAGCACTAACTAAATTTTATTTAACCATTTAAAATTTTCTATGGCATTTAATTAATAACATATCCATCATACCAAACTTGCTTTTTATCAATCTAAGCAATTTAAATATTATTAATATTATTATAATTAAATTTAATTTTAATTTTAAATAATTAAGTAATAGAACAATATAATGATATAAAATAGACACTGTAAACATACCCTGTCAAATATTATATCACATAATTGATGCATAGATTCACCCTGTAAACATAAAATACATCCCAGAAAGTGCTTTTAAATGTTTCTAAAGATTACATTGTCTAACTAAAACCTTGTAAAGTTGTTGTCCTATCTTTTCATATCGAGGCTGAAGATAGTTTTCAAATTTTTCTTGGAATTGTTCAGTAAATGGTTGAAGCACAGACATTTCATTCAAATCTTCATATTTGTTTTCATTTAGATGAACCACCAAAGAAACATTAAGTCACTTTTGTTGCAATTGTAGTTGTATTTCCTTCTTGCTTTGTCTTTGATTGAATTAATAATAATAAAAGTGGAAATTGATAAGAAATTGTTTTTGGATATATATCAACAATCTGATTTATATCTGGAAATCTAATAGTCTCACCATCATCATCATGGTTTGGTTGGTTACTTGTGTTGTCATTTTTATTATTATCCTTGGATCTTTCCATATTTTTCACATCAATATCCATTTCATCATCATCAACAACATCAATAACAACATCATCTTCTTTATCATCAACAACATCAGTATCTTTAATTTTTGTATTTTCTTCAACAAATTCCTCATCTATATCCATTTGGTCAGCTGAATTAATAATAATATTTTTAGAGTTACTTGTTTTTTCATATTTATCAAAAGTATCATTATCACTATTACTGTTATTGTTGTTTCCTTTAACATCTTCAAAATTTTCCACATATTTGTCAATATTCTGATATTATTAAAAGTTAAATTTTTTTTTAAATACAGCAGCAATTATAATAGGTATTATTATAATGGTAATTTATCTCATTTGATTTTAATGCCATTAGTAAATTACAAGCCGGAAAATAAAATCCTGCTCACCAAAGGTGATAAAAAATCAGGAAATTGTTTCTTTGATGATTCATCATAATCATCATTATCAATAAAACCATCATTATCATTGTTTTTGTCGCCACCATGGTGATCATTGTCATTGTTATTATTAATGTTCCTTATTTTATACAAATTCTGCCAATATTGAGAGGATTTTTGATTTATTTCTTGTGTTCCTTTTTTTATTTATAATATTAATTAGATCAAATAAAAAATTCATTTGCAGGACAGATTAGCCTTTGCACATGAGGAATACGTGAGAATGACTGTAAGTGTTCAAGATAGCATGAGTGCTTCAATGTCTGCTAATTTCCGATAATCAAACATTGCATAATTGAAATGTTTCTTTTCAACGGTGTGCTGCCTTGACATCTCGTAATTAATTATTATAATTAATAATATTATTATTATTATTGATTACACAAAGCAAAATACCAATCATTCACTTATCATTATCAAGGAAGAATCTTATAATTACCAGCAAGATCTGCTATGGTGCAGATCATCTATAATCATTAATTGCTTATACAGTGAACCCTCCATAAGTGCACCCTCTATAAATGCATCCCTTCATAAATGCACGCTATGTCTCATTCCCAACCTCGGGAATTAGAGATAAATGCCCGCCCTCCATACTCTGCACTGCACGGTCTTCCCCATCCCCGTTCATATAAAACCAACCTCTCTAAATGCACGCCCGTGACTTTCACGTGATTTTTTTGAATAAATTCGTGTTACATTAATTAATTCAACGTTATTTATAATATTAGTATAGTGCCGATCATCTAAAGACATCACAAAATGTTGCCAATCTTTAAATGCTGATACTTCACTAAATATGGGCTAT